CGATGGTAGGGCGGGCTCTCGCCGACAGAACAACTAAGCGTGACAGAACTTATAGTAAATAAGGAATGTGCAGTCAACTTTAGGTAGTTTTTTTCAGGAATGTTTTGATTGCCCGGGATTTGAACCAGTGCTCATGCGTTCCTCTGCACCGCCTTGCTTTAATCCTTTATCATCGTTTCTTGTTCTCGAGAATTTCGTAAGCGATAGCGATAGCAATTGAAATCCGTCTCCATTATGTCAGCTCAGCGTTTGGAACTACGCATTCAAATTTTCAAGGACTGACATGTTGCTACCCGAAAGGCTAACCCGGTTCTTTTTTATTGGGGTGGGGGGGGGGGTCTGTTTAGAATAATGTCTTGTAGACCTGGCCCCGATGGCAGCTCCCGCCTCTAGGATTTCCAAGAGCCCGTTTGGGAACCCGGTTGACCTGGAGTTTGGGTCAGCAAAATGGATATGAGATCTGTGCGGCGCGGCTGACATTGGGGCACATGATCACGTACCACGCAAACGAAGGCTCAGTTCTGTGTGGAGGCCGGAAGCCTTTCAAGTGAAGTGTGTGTGCACCTTTCAAGTTCCGGCAAACCACTCAAGGTCTTTATCTTTTAGGTTTAGCTGTCACGACTTGATGAGCGAAGTCAATCGCAGGAGTTACCGTATGCGTGAGTTTGCTTTAGTTAGAGAGTGGCATACTGTGGCCACTATACCGATTTATTTCGATAAATTGGAGGTGTAAAATCCCACTCATCGCTGCCAGAACAGTTTTATGAGCGACTGGGGACTTTTGGGACTTTTGGCGAGCAGCACACATGGCAACAGGATAATCACCAAGGCGACCCATTGCAAGGTTATGATTAAGACTGTCAGACTCATGACAGGGGATAAGCAATCCACTAATGCACGTGGTCCTTCTTCTCAACTTCTTCGCGGGAATCATCCTTTCGTTTTTTCTGGGAAACACATTTTTCCATTTCCTCCTCTTATTGTTATAAGTACTATTATTATTGGCATTATTATTTCTATTGTTATTAACACTATTATCATTGATAACAATAACATCATGATTGAGATTATTATTACGATTCCTATTCTTCCTACCACCAACACCATCACTGCCGCTATCGCCGCCAACACCATCACTTCACCATCATCGACACCACCACCACC